CCAGGCCTTGTGACAAAGGCTAGGCTGAACCCATGTGGCTGATGTGTAGATCAATGCTTGGGTCCCACGCCATACAAGGAAGCCCAATTGAGCAGCAGTTAGGAAGGTTAAGTGAGCACATAAGCTTAATGGGCATAAAGCCCATTTCGAACTGGACTTATTTATTAAGTTAAATATGGGCGAATTCTGAGATGGATCAGCAGATAGGATAGGGCTTTAACCCTATCCACTCAGAGAGTCCAGATCTAAATGTGATTTGGATCTGGAAACCTCGTAAAAAGATTAGGAAAATGTTGATCCAATCTGCAGATAAGATAAGGGTTTATCCTTATCACCTAAAGAGATGTTCTGATCCAAATAAGATTTGGATCAACAACTCTTAATTGGATTAGGAGCTGATCCTTTGGGGCTACAAATAAGGAGAGGACGACAGCCTTTAGAGAAGACATACTCACATTCTCTTCAGAGCTGAAATCACAGAAGAAAGATTTTTGCAATCCCTGCAAAGATCTTTCTTGCCGCCTCCTTCAGTTTATGGTTCAAGATTGATCATTGAAAATATGATTTTCTAAATAGGGAATGCGATTTCCAGTTGAAGGGAGAGAAAAATTTTTGAAATTCGCCCCTTTATTCCGCAAGATTTGGGCATCCATACGATGGATCTCTCATCCCTTCAAGATAGCCTTTAAATGCAGTTTTAAAAGCTTGGTAGACCGAACTACGTACTGAACGATCTTTGCCTTTAAAGACAAGACTCCATAAGGTTAACTTGTCTTTTGGCCATTTGGGCTGCTAGAAGATCTTTCTAAAAGAACTTGCCAAACGGCACATAAAGCTGAATTTTGATGGAAGTTCTTTGGGTAACCCTGATATTGTAGGTATTGGTGGGGTAATTAGAAATTTGTTGGCTCTTTACTATGGGCCAATTAGTGTGGCTAACTCCATAAAAACTGAATTGTTGGCTTTACTACAAGCTAGCTAAGAAATTAGGCTTCAGTCAATTAGAGGTGGAAGGCGACTCAAAAGTAATCATTTATTGGGCAAGATGTAATAGAAATATTCCGTGGACTCTCAAGAATGCTTATAAGGATGTAGAAAGGACTGCAAGAGATCTGGTTGCTGAATTCAAATGGGTTAGAAGGATAATTGTTTTGGGCATCTTGGTAACATAGTTTTCGTTTTGGGACTAATGTCATGGTCATCAAATTAAACTTGTGCTGTTTTTTCACATATTATTAGTATAATTGTAGTTTTATTGATAAAAAAGCAAGTGAATTCATCCTAGTGCAATGGGCCCAAGAGTTGGTCCATTTAATGTTTCACATTTTCACTAGGGTCTCAACCAACCTACAAGCTCATGTCCATTAATTTGAACCAAGTTAATGTCCATAAGGTTTTGGGCCTAAAAGACACTTAACACTTGTAGATAGTCTCTTAGCCAATATTATCATAACATTACTGATAGGAAAAGACCTCTTGCTTAATTGCATAATGTAGTGCCACACTCTACTCAAAATGGATTCCAAGGTTAAAATTAATTGCAAATCCTTTATAAAATATATTTATTAATATAAATACATATTGCAAAACAATTTGAAGAATAAGTTGAAATCCATTATTGATAGTTTTTGGTATTCATCAGAGAGAGTATACACTAGGATAGTCTCTTTGTTTGACAAAGTGGCTTATCCTATCACAATGATCACTCACTAGGTGCCTTCATGATCTTACTCCAACATACCTAGGCATTTGACCCAGAAGGATCTCACTCGTTGGCATATGAAAAACAAATTGGTCTGCTACTTAGTGTTGTATTATTATCAAGTCCTAGGATCAAATGCAACTTTTTGGATTAATCTGACAGTCTCCAAGGTCTAGGACTAAACTGGAAATGGTCCAGTCTAGTGTTCTCAAACACCTGCTCCTATCTTTGGTCCAACACCCTGCAATTGACACAGACTACTTACCAGTAAACAGAAATAAAATGTCAATCGGTTGAGAACATTCAAACTTACAAAGTCTCATAAACATACAACTTAGGGGTATTCAAAGAAACATACCAAAATATACATTTATTTTGATAAATGAGTGCAGTTTTATTAATCAAAGAGTGTACAAGCAATCTCAGAGGAGGCACGAGGTGTTACCTCCCCTTGGAGCTGAGCAATATGCTAATAAACACAGACTAGCCTGAATGGCAATTATAAGGTAGCCCAAAACAGGTTTCCACTTGATATCCCTTGTTTAGCAAAAGAATCAGCTGTTGCATTTGCCGATCTGATAACTCACTAAACCTAACTGCCATATTTCTTGTTGCCCAGTTAACTTTCTTCAAAAGATCCCTGTAGCCCCAAAAGACTGTTTCTGGATTTGTCAGCCAGCCCACTACCACCTTGAAGTCCCCCTCAACTATCAAGTTTTCCACTCCAAGTTGACTAGCAACCTGTATGCCTTGTACCACTGTTAGTATCTTAGCCCTTATAGAATCACCAACACCCACTGGTCCTGAGATAAGATAGGATGTTGCTGTCTAAAGAAGAGACAGAAAGATATGAAGAATGGGATGATCATTTATGCTTCTGTACATCGAAATTTATAGCTCTCTCTAGGATACAAACTAGGTAACAAATCTCCCTGATTAAAGGATACAAACTAGGTAACAAATCTCCCTAATTAAAGGATACAAACTAGGTAACAAATCTCCCTAATTAAAGGATACAAACTAGGTAACAAATCTCCCTAATTAAAGGAAAGATAAAACTGATTCCTAAAAATTTGTACAGCTCACAAATCTCTCAACTACCTAAAATAGCACGTAATCAAATATAATACATAATTACAGAAATCTTCCAACACTGTCTTTATCTCTCAGAATCCCTCCTATGCTTGAGGGCCTTTGATTGCCTTGACTACTTCCGTCAAAATTTAATTTTACCATTCCTTCCAGAGGGGGTTTCCATTCTGCTTGTAGTCTATTCTGTGGAGGCTGTGGATGCCACTACCTCCCAATTTTTCCTTAAATTGTCAAAAGAGTAATCCACAAACAAGTCTAATGATTTCAGGCAAGAGGTTGTCCTTGTCATTATACACTCCTTTACTTCAGCAAGGCTTCTTTCCTTTTTTTTGAAAAATTCTAGCATTCCTGTCCTCCCATGAAGTCCACAAGCTAGCTGCTCTGATACACTTCCACATTAGCTTCCCTCTCTTTGTCAATCTCCCAAAGGCAGACGGAATAAACAACAGATTTACTTAAGAGGGCAGGTTCCACCTGCACCCAAATAATAATAAAACCCAGTTAGTTCCAAATATTGACTGCAAAAAAGCAAGATATCAGCAACTGGTGACAGTCCTAACTCTTCACTTTACGCATAATGCACCAATTTGGGGACAAGCACATATAAGTTTTCTTCTTTTGCAACTTTTCCATAGTATTGATCTTACCATAAAAAACTTCCCAATTGAACACAACTATTTTAGGAGGTATTGGCCTTGACCAGATTTCTTTAATAGGGAAGACTTGAGAGGAGGGGGTAGAATAGAGGGATTAAAAGAAAGATGCACATGTGTAAGGAGCCAACTGGGTTCAGAGACCAAATCCTTTTATCAGGTCTGGGGGGGGGGGTCCAAACCCAGAGTCTAGGGGCAACAAGATCTCTGAAACACAAGGGGCAGATAGGGATTGGCTAATACTATGTCTGATTACTTAATCAAGCAAGGGGCAGATAGGGATCAGTTGTACTGGGCTCCATTTTGAATATTTTTCTGTCTGTTTGCTTTCCTATTTAGGAGAGGTTGCAGCTTGTGCCTCTCCAAGGGTTGTAAAGCACGATTCTATTGATATTAATAAATTCCTACTTCATCTATCAAAACAAAAAAAAAAGGAAAAGAAAATGATATTGGCTTTATTTAAGCCTATCTTGTGGTGAGAGATATTTAAGCCTGTTTTGTACAATGGGTGTACAAGGGAGAAGGTGGTATATCTGAATCCTATGGTTTTCTTCTCCTATAGTGAAGTTTGTTCTCTCTCTCTCTTCCATACCTCTAGGTGATTGTACAACAAATCAGGTACCTGGTTTGAAGAATTTCCACTGCACTGTCCTCGGGCTGGATTCCTTCAAAGTTTAAGAAATTCCCTACCTAGGATGCACCCTATGTAAATCCTGTTTTCTTCAATTGTTGTCATTGGTTATTTATTTGCTCTCTTCCAAGTTTTTGAACTGTTATATTATAATTGAAACTTCTTTAATCATTATCTGTTCAAATGTCAAAAAGCTTACTATCTTATGGATAACAGTGTGAAAATACAGGACATGCAACTATTTAAGGATCACCTGGTTGTATATGAGCGTGAAAATGGTCTTCCTAAAGTAACCATTTATGGTCTTCCTGCTGATGGGGAACCAATTGAAAGACTTCAAGGTGGTCGGACTGTTGACTTTATTGATCCTATATATTCTGTGGATCCTTCAGAATCTCAATTTTCTTCCAGCATTTTACGATTTTCTTATAGCTCGATGAAGACTCCCCCATCTATATATGATTATGATATGAACTCAGGCATTTCTGTTTTAAAGAAGATTGAGACCGTACGTAACTTTTTCTATTTATTTTGTCTTTCATTTTTGTAAACTGCATTTGATAAACTATGAAATACAGGTTGCTACATGCATACTAATAGATGTACTCTTTAGCATTAAAGGGCAGCCCAGTGCATGAGGCTCCTCTGCAGAGGGACAGGCATATGCAGCCTTACCCTTGCAGATACATGTAGAGAACACTAATGTAGACCCCACTAAGGTGGTCCCACTATTCGTATGTCAGCAATAAGTTATGATTAGGATTAGTTCTTTATGATAAGATTAGGACTAGTCTTTTATAAGATTAGGATTAGTCTTTTATCAGCTTTATCTTATCTCATTTATCTTTCCATGTAAGCGATTCAGTCCTTTTGCAAGTATGATGCTATGTATATAAACTTAAGAGAGATGCGGCTGTTTCAAACAACAACCCAACTTTCTTTTATCAAAATCTCTCTCTCTCTCTCTCTCTCTCTCTTTCCTCCCTCTTCTTTTCTTATTTTTTTTCTTCTCCTCTTAAGTGTCTGTTCAATCTTGAGCGACTACTTGGTATTAGAGCATTCGATCTAGGGTTTCTCATGTAGAATTAATTCAGCCGACCACATGAGAATTAATTTCAGGCAGAGTTTTTTTCATTCGACTGATTCTTGGAGATTACAAGAAGTCTTCGGCAATTGTCCAAGGATTGGAAAGTGCTCCTTGTAATCAGGAAAAATCAGAGAAGAATTAAGTGATCAAGGTTAGGTCTTTGAGCAAGATTGGAGGTGCCAATAAGATTTTTTGGTTCTCTCATCAAGACTGAAGTTGGCGATCAAGAAGATTTTTCTCCGAGATCAGTTCCGTTTCAGAAGTTTCTCAGGTTGATCAGAATCAAGATCAGTTTTGAGCAAACTGAAGTTGGCGATCAGAATTTAAGGAAGATTTTTGAATCAAGATCAGTTTTTTTTTCAGAAATTCCTGGGCAAGGTCTTATTCCTTCTTGAGGGCGTAGCAAGGATAGCTTAATTTGTGAGGTACGACTATATATACTATTTTTTTTCTTTTTCTCTTATATGGTTTTAAGTGAAAACCCTGAAATCCAAAACTGTTACTGTGTCCTCATAAGAGATTAGACTTGTTTTTAAGTTTGGCTGTTATCAGATTTCTGTTCTCTGATCTCTGTTTTGGAGTTCTGTACCTAGGCTTAGTTCCCAGATTTAGTAGGCTGATTGATATAGTGATACAGTGAATAGGAAATTTTTTCTTTCTCTGAATCTGATTTCTTCTTCTAGACCTACTGTTGTTAGTTTTCAGACTCAATAGGCTGATTGTTACAGTAAATAGAAGGTGTTTTTTGCTTAACCCCTAACCAAGAATGGAGTTCAAGCACCAAGGGGAGGGTGTTTTTGGGACTGGTTCAGGTGGCATGACTGAAAACACCTTCTAGATTACGGGATGATGGCCATTGGGGGAAGAGGAAAGCTGAACTATTTGTTGGGAGATGTGAAGGAACCAAGTAAGGAGGATCTCACTTATGTTACGTGGATTCAGGAAAATTATTTGGTGATGACATGGCTCTGCAATTCCATGTAGCCACACATAAGCCGAAATTACTTATGGGCAAAAACAACTAAAGAAATACGGGATGTTGTGAAAGAAACTTACTCTCAGCCCCTTAATGTTGGTAGAGCTTATGAGCTGAAATGTGAGGTTAAAAATCTCAAGCAAGGTGAGAAACAAGTTTCTGTTTATTTTTCAATCTTGAAATCCGTGTGGCATGAAATTGACCACCTTGAATCAATTGAATGGGAAATTCAGAAGGATGCATAGATTTACAGAAAGCAGATTGAAACTAATAGAGTGTTTGAGTTCTTGGCTGGTCTAAATTCGGAATATGATATTGTGAGGCAACAATTGTTTACAAGAGACAATGTAACTCTGTCCCAGGCCTATTCCTTAGTACACAACGAAGAGACTAGGAGAAAAGTTATGCTACAACAACAACCTTTTGAATTAGCTCTGGCAGCAGCTTAGCCCAAATCTGGGGGTGATAAGGAAAGAGACATGAAGAAGGAAGCTAAGAAGGACCTAGTATGTGAGCATTGCAGGAAACCTAAACATACTAAAGAGACCTGTTGGAAGTTGCATCCACATCTAGCTCCAGCAAAACTCTGAAACAAAAAGGGGAATGCAAATATGACTGTTAACAATGATAGTACAACCTCATCTAGCACAAGAGGCAATCCTCTAGACACTCTAGCTGCTGTCCGAGCTGCTCTAATTCAACTGAAAAATGAAGTTGGTAATTCAGCTCCACTTCCTCAGACACCATCAACACCCCTACCTCAGCTTTTGCTCATTCAGGTAATCGTGCCTTAGCTCACCATGCCTCAGCTACAGGTAATACAGAACATTCATGGATAATAGATTTAGGAGCATCTGACCATATGACTTGCTTGCCGTCACTATTTATTACCTATCACTTATCTTTAGGCAGAGACGAAGTGTCCATTGGTGATGGCTCCCTCGTTCCTATTTCTGGCAAGGGAGATATCAAGTTGTCTAATGCTATTTCCTTATCTTTGGTTTTGGATGTTCCTAAGCTTAGTACTATCTTGCTTTCAGTTAGTAGCATTACGAAAAATCAGAATTGTTCAGTAACCTTTTTTTTCGGATCAATGTGTTTTTCAAGATCTGGAGACAAGGAAGGTGATTGGGACTTGTCGTGAGGCAAATGGAGTCTATCTGCTTGGAGGGAGTCCTCATTGGGAAGATAGTGAGACTAAGAGGTCTTGTATTTCTCAGTCTATTGATTAGGCTATGCTTTGGCATAATAGGATGTGTCATTTATCTTTCCGGGCTTTGAAGAGTTTGTTTCCTAGTTTATTTGAATTTATCCAGATGTCTAGTTTGAAATGTGAAAGTTGTGAACTTGCAAAACACTGTAGGACAACCTATTCATTAAGTAATAATAGAAGTAATATTCCCTTTGAAATTGTGCATACTGATGTTTGGGGACCTTACCATACCACTGCCATGGGGGAGGGTACAGATATTTCCTATTGTTTGTTGATGATTATACTCGTTTTTCGTGGATTTATCTTATGTGTTCTCGAGATGAGGTTCTAGCATTAACCTGGATCTTTCATCAGATGATTTTAACCCAATTTGGGGTCAAAATCAAAATTTTTAGACATGATAATGCGAAAGAACATTTTGCAAACCCAGTAGCCTCCTATTTGCTTGAACATGGGATTATCCATCAGAATACTTGTCCTCATACACCATAGCAAAATGGGGTTGCTGAAAGAAAGAATAGACACATATTGGATGTAGCTGGAAGCATTATGTTTACCTCCAACGTGCCTATACGTTTTTAGGGGGATGTTATTCTTACAGTAGTGTATTTCATCAATAGGATTCCTTCACGGGTTCTTGACATGAAACTTCCATTTACCCTCTTATATCCTGATAAAGAGTTATTTACCATTCCCCTTAAAACCTTTGGTTGTACATGCTTTATTTAGATTCTTGGCCCTCATCGTTCCAAGTTTGATCCTAAGGCGTCAAAATGTATTTTCCTTGGTTATGCTTTGTTAGACAGTTATGCTCTTAGCTCCAATCAGATTGATGTATTTTTTGACATTTATTATAAATGAATAAAGTACATAATTGATTCATGTCATTGTAGTGTGTTTTTGTGTAATACCCATAAACTGGACACTTATGAGACTCGTGTTAGTTTAGAATCATTACAGCCGTTGGATAGATTTGGGGAGATTTATCCTGCCAAGGCTGACATTGATGTGCCACCAAATTGGTTGGGGTGGCTTGTCTCAGTTGCCAGGCTGAGACCTGAGGTACATGCAGTGTGGGTTTTCTTGAAAACTTGAACCAGACCAAATTCCAGTATTGCCTTGGACCATGGAGATAGATGGGCAAAACTACAATGTTACACCTGACCCCTAGACTCGATTATGGTATTGCACTAGGTGTCGGATTGGGCTGTCTTTGATATGCCAATCAGTGAGATCCTTTGTTGGATTGGGTATGTTGGGACAGTCTAAGAATTCGCCTGAGTGGGTGATCATAGTGATAGGATTAGCCCCTTTGTCGGACAAAGTGAATGATCGGGGAATGCACTCTCTCTAATGGAAACCTAACCTGCTGGCAATTGATTTCAAACGTTGAAATTTGGGTTTGCAAAATATATTTATATAAAGATATACATATATATATTATGGTTTCAAAATGTTTGCAAAATGTTTTAATTCCTGGGATCCATGTGAGTAGAGAGTGTAGCACTATACCTTGCAATCGAGGGAGAGGCCCTCTCTTGTCGGGTAGTGTTTGATCATGATGGGCTGAGAGGTTAAGTGTAAGACCATTGAGGGTAATACCTAATAGGCTAATCTTGCATTTGCCCACAGCTCTTGTGTTTTCATAAGGTGGTTGGATCCAAGAACCATTTAGTGTAAATGTTGGGCCTATTAAGAGCCTATGGTGATGGACATAAGGGTTCACTGTCTCCTACAGTGAATTCGGCTAGGCCTTGTAACAAAGGCTGGGCTGAACCCATGTGGCTGATGTGTAAATCAATGTTAGGGTCCCACGCCATACAAAGAGAGCTAATTGGGCAGCAGGTTAAAGAGTAAGTTAATTAAAAGGGGCCAAATTCAGTTTTAAACTGATTAGGATTAATTGAAGGATAAGATAAGTCTTATCCATTTAAGAGTCCAGATCCAAATATAAGATTTGGATTAGGAAACTCTCTCCTAATTAGATTAGGAGGCTGATCCAAAGAAGGCTATAAATAGGGGGCGAATTCTTCAGATTAAACACACGACAACAAACTGCAGAATTCTTCCCTAATTATTGCTGCCCCTATCTAGTTCGATTTCCACTTATGGATTTGATCAAGAAAGATTCTTGATATTGTTTCTTTGTAGAGATGCACCATAAAATTGGGCTATCCATTTGCTAATGCAGTCTGCTGGATTTTTTCATAAGATGATAGGGGTGTCATAGAC